CTGAGCCGTGAATAACAACCAGTTAGGAATGGTTTCTTTCTTTGGTTCCAGCCTACTGACTGTAAGCCCTGCTGGCCACCATGGGCAGGGTATGAAGGGACTCCAGGGCTTGTATACAAGGTCTTATGTTGGACATTCATATGGCCTGGGGGTCTGGAGGCAGGACAGAGGGAGCACGGGAAGATGGTGTTCACTTGTAAGGAGATGGAGGAGAGACAGTGAAGTATCCTTCAAACGGAGAAAGTGCTTTGAGACCAAAATCAAAACAGGCTACTTCACACAGTTGACAGAGTTGTATTCAGGGTAACTTACTGACGGAAGAGCAGTCAGAGGCTGGGCCACTGCAGTTGCATAGCTGTTCTCCACAAGCCCAGGCCTCAGTCCACAGATTTTATAGAGGAAGGGGACACACAGAGGGACCCTGTAGCGAGATCAGAGGGCTGCACGTACCTCAGAGAACGTGCATGCCCCTGACTGACTGCTGACCTTTCACTGGCTCTTGGGGTACCACCTGTGTGCCAGGAAGGGGGATGACAGTGTTATCTCTGACAGATGGATGAAAGGCCAAAGCAATTCTCCCCTCATTCTGGCCTTGGTGGACATTCCTAACGTGTGTATATTAATCTCCGAGGGGCCAGGAACACGAAGCCCAGCTTTGGAGGGCCAAAGCTGGAGTCAGTGTTGGCAGCCCTCCCACACTGCTGTCTTCCCCAGTTTCTGGTCCTAGGTGTGTGTTTAATTAGAAGCTTACCCCTTAGATCACAGCTATGAAGGTAAACTAATAGGCCTCTTTCACAGAGACTGGGTGCCTTTCTTTGCTGTGCCCTGGCAACGGTGGTGGCCAGTTAAGAACTCTTTTCTCCACTTGTTACGGTCTCGTGGGACCCAACGGGTGTAAGCCCCCTAACCACCAGAGCCAAGCAAGCGAGAGGTGTTTCATGGGCAGGAGAAATTTTCTGCAAAAATCACGAGTGTCAGTCAAGGGCACATGCTCCTGGGAGATACCAGAGAGCTGGAGGGAGACAGAGGAGGAGCACAAAATTGTCTGTTTTGGGAGAACATTTCAGTAAGCCCTTAGATGTGTGTTAAATTAGATGCCTGCCTTTCAAGCTGACACTTTAAGATGAGCAAGCAAGACTCGTGTTTTTTTGTTTTGTTTTGGTTTGGTTTTTGTTGTTGTTTTGTTTTTTTGTTTTAGAGCAGGGAGGGGCAGAAGGAAAGGGAGAAAGAGAATCGTAAGCAGGCTCCATGCCCATCTCACGACTTGAGCTGAAATCAAGAGTCAGAAGCTTAACCGAATGAGCCACCCTGGCACCCCCAAGCAAGCTTCTTCAACAGAAAAGTGGGGGTGCTTTTCAGTCAACTGCCTCTGTGCTGGGTCCTGGGCTGGGTGAGTCTGCACACGTGAGCCTTTTAATAACTGTGTCAGGTTGCGTAGCCTTCTTGGTCCCATGGATGCAGGCTTCTTTGGCTTTCAAAGGTAGATGTTTGGGGGCTCAACTTCAAGTTCAGGTCTTAAAAGTTGGGGGTACCAGATGTGGGGTTCAGAACCTTCACTCCTCGGGAAGAAGCTTGGGATTCTGAGTTCCCTCCTGACTGTGGGTTGCTGCACACGTTGTGGGTGATTGTGGGTGATTGTGGGTGGGGTTTATGGCAAGATTGTCTGTCAGCCTCTCTGACCTGCCTTCCTATGGGTTGTTTCCTCACTCAACAGCGTGCAGGAGTTGCTTAGCTAGTTTTTGGGGTTTAGATTTTTCCAAGGAAATTATTCCATATGTAGGTGTAGATTCAGTGTGTCTATGGGAGAAAGTAGGTGGAGGGTCGTTCCATGTCACCATCTTGAACTGGACTATTTTATTCTGCTTAAGGTTTGTTCTTTATTGTTTCCTCCAGTAGTTGCTTACATTATTGTCGATTTTTTTTTTTTTTGGCCTTTGGTTTATTTGTTCAGTGGTATAAATTTCCTGCTAGACTCCTACAGTTGCTACACCAGACAACTTTTAATAAATTCTATTTTCATATCATTCAAAATAATGATTTCTTCAGACTTTTTTGATCCCAGTATTTAGAAGTTTTTATCTCCATGTCTTTGGGGTTTTCCAACTACTCTCCTGTTACTGATTTCTATTTTTTTTTTTTAAAGATTTTATTTATTTATTTGACAGAGAGATCACAAGTAGGGAGAGAGGCAGGCAGAGAGAGGAGGAAGCAGGCTCTCTGCCGAGCAGAGAGCCCGATGCGGGGCTCAATCCCAGGACTCTGAGATCATGACCTGAGCCGAAGGCAGCGGCTTAACCCACTGAGCCACCCAGGCGCCCCCTGTTACTGATTTCTAGATTAATGCTGCTGTTTCCTGAGAAAATATTTGTAGGATTTCTGTTGTTTCAAATTTAAGGTGTTTTATAGCCCAGAAGGTGGTTTGTCCTGATGACGGTTGCCTGTGCACTTGAGAAGAAGGGAGATTTGCTGTTCATGATATATCCCATGGATTTCAATGAAACCTGTTGCTCATTGGTACTGTTCAATGTAACTAGTCCTTCCTGATTTTCTTCCTGCTGGAACTTTTGCGTTACTGATACGGGGTTGTTGACAGGTCCATCTTTTGCCTAACATATTTTGCTATTCTGTTATATACACAGAAAGGGTTGTTACATTTTCTTGGAGATTTGACCCAGTGATCATTACATGATTCCCTCTTTATCTGAAATTTCCTTGCTTTGACATCCTCGTCTGAAATTAATATGCTCTGCTGGCTTTCTTTTGGTTACTGTTGGTGTGGTACATCTCTCTCCTTCCTTTTATGTGTATTTGTGTCTTTATCTTTAGTTCTTTTTAATGTGCTGTTACAGTATCATTCAGCTGTTGGATTTAAACCATTGATGCTTTAAAGTGGTTATTGATAATGTTGATTAGTATCTACAATGCTTTTTACTCTTTCTTGTTGTCCTTGTTTCTTTGTCTTCCGCCATTTTTCTGCCTTCTTTGGCTTTAATTGAACATTTTCTCTCTTCGCAGCATATCAATTATAGTTTCTTGACTTTGTTTTCCCGAGTTTACCTCCTGTTAGAGTATTCCTAATTTTTCCCTGGCCCATGTAACATTGTCATTCATTTCACTTACCCAAAAGCTTATTACTGAATGCAAAAGTGAGGTCTGTCGGATTTGTTAGTAAAAGAAAAGGTATTTTACCTTCATTAGTTTCTTTCCTAATGCTCTTCCTTATGTACCTCCCAGTGAATTTCTTTTCATGTTCTTTGAAAAACAGGTGTACTCATGTCAAATTCCTCAATTTTTGCCTCAGAACATCCTTATTTCTTCTTCATTTTTGAAGAACAGTTCTAACAGAATTATAGGGTGGTGGTGGTTTACTTTTCAATACCTTAAGTGTTTCACTCCAGTCTCTTTCTTGCTGAAATGGTTTTGGAAAGAAGTCCTGTTTAATTCTTACCTTCGTTTCAGTGTGACTGAGGTTTGTTCCTCCCCCCTCCCCTCCCACCCCTGGCTTCCTTCACTATGTTCTCTTCGTTTTCTATTTTTCTACAGTTTGAATAGGATGTGCTTGAATTTGCATTTTCAATTGTTTGGGGGTTTTTTCTCCTTCATTTCTCTTTTGTCTTCTCTTAGCTTCTCTCGAATGGTAGGAAGATTCACTTTTTCTGTTTTTTTCTGCCTTTCTTTTCCATCAGTTAGTCCCATTTTGTGTATTTTATCCTTGTCATTATCCCAAAGTTCTTGGAGAGTGTGTTCTTCTTTTTTTTTCCTGTTTGCTTAGGCCCCAGTGAAGCAGATTCTTCTGAGGACAGGCCTTGTTAAGAATAGAATATTCTGGGCATATTTCAAAATAGCTTCTTTTCTGTCTCCAATTTTGAAGACTGTGGTTTGCCCTGTGTCCTCAGTTCTCTGGGGGAATCTAAGTAGTTGTTTCATTTTAAGTTTTTTGCTTTTTCCTTGTGAAGGAGAGACTGCTTCTGAGTTCATTATTTGACAAACAACAACCAGATCTCTGGCTCTGATTTTTTTTTTTTTTCTGGCTCTGATTTTTGATGCTTGATGCTCACAGCTTTGAAACTCATCCCTCCTCCTCCCTTCTTGGTCCGCTTCTATCCAAGACAGAGAGAAAGCCTAGTGCTTCCTGCTTTGGCAGCGGCACGACGTTCCGTTCACACAGGCTCCTGCCCTTGTGTGTGAACCTTTAGTCCACTCACAGCCTCAGAAAAAAAGTCTGCCTGCTTTTCCCTGGTCTCTCAAGCCATTTCTTGCCAGCGTGAGAGGCCTGCCTTCCTCCCCGGAGACCTCAGTTCCCGAGTGAACGCGCTTATCCCCTCTCGGCAGTACCTGGTGTCCTCAGCTTAGGGATTCCTGTACTTGGGGGTTGGCTGTGGTGCTTCTGTGCACCATGTCGCAGCTCATAAATGAGAGAAAATGAGAGGGTCCCCTCTAGAGGGACTGGTCGGGAACTTCCTCCTGAAATTGGAGGATGGAGATTTTATGTTCTCTTAGAGGAGAGCACTGCTGAATCCTTTATTTAACACTCACGAACAGACTCACCATCAAGCCATTGTGGATGTTCATGGACTCCCTCGTGACCCGCAGCTCTTAACGTATTCGTCAAGGTTAGCGTGGGCCAAGGACGCTGTTACGGTTTGACCAAAAAGAGTTCTAGCACCTTCTCAACTCAGTATGTGTCCTAAAAAGTGAGAAGCAGCCCTGAGGCTCATTGGATGGGGTTTCTGTGGAGACCTCGGAGCCGTCGCTTCTGAATAATTTTTGGCTCCTGTGAACGGGACGGAGATAATGGAAAAACGGATGCAGTAAGTACCGCACTGGCGCAGAGTACGGCTTCTGCACAAGAATATTTGCCTTTGTCCAGCTACATCTGGCTACTTGTGACGGCCTGGAGGACTTCTGGCCGACACGGAAAGCTGATCCTTGTTACAAGTTGCATTTCCACAGGCCTCCGGGACGCTCGTGGTTGGTGCTGGGACTAGAACAAGCTTCCGCTTCTTCACTGTGTTTTACTCATTAAAACCTCATGCAGACTCGAGCCGGTGCATCATGGAGTGCTGAGTTAAATGGTACGTAAGAAGGAAGGAGATGAGAGCGTCTTTCTCAACAGGAATTAGTGTGCTTAAAATAACACTTGTCTCATTTGTATAGCATTTCGCTCATTTCTCCAAGGTGCTCTAGAGCCCGCCATTAGAGGACAGTAACATTTAAAGTGATCACAGTAATGATGAGTAAATAATTTGCATGTGTTCATGATGCTAAATTTATGAGGAAGTGGGAACAGAAAGTAAATTCTCATGACCAAGACGTAAATGTTGGAGACCACAGAATCACATACATAACACAACCTTCCTATAAATTGAGTATATATCCCCAGTGCTGTCAGACTCACGTATGCTACTGTGAACATATTTGGGATGTTTTAGGATTCATTGACCTTTGAGGATGTGGCTGTGAACTTCAGCCTGGAAGAGTGGGTTTTACTGGATTCTTCGCAGAAGAAACTTTACAGAGATGTGATGCGGGAAACCTTCAGAAACCTGGCCTCAGTAGGTAAAGATGATGACATTCTTACTGAACGTTAGCAGTTAGAGAATAAGTATTTCTTGCCCATCAGTCTTGTTCTAACATGTGGGAAAAGAATACATTAGTAAGCTAAGCTCACATAGACCTAAAATCTAGTAATTTTTTATAATTTCTAAAAACATGGAATTATTTTTCTCCATTTGCATTTTAGGGAAAAAATGGGAAGATCATGACACCGAAGATGGGTACTATACGCAGGGGAGAAAACTAAGGTGAGTCACATAGTATAGCAGTGTCCCACGTGAGAATCCTTCTATGGCATGAATTTTTTTTTAAGGTTTTATTTGACAGAGATCACAAGTAGGCAGAGAGAGAGAAGAGGAAGCAGGCTCCCCACTGAGCAGAGAGCCCGATGTGGGGCTCGATCCCAAGACCCTGGGATCATGACCTGAGCCGAAGGCAGAGGCTTTAACCCACTGAGCCACGCAGGCGCCCCTAGCATGAATTTTCTAAAACCAAATTATTCAGAGGTGCTGGTGGCTCAGTGAGTTCTAGGTCTTCCTTCAGCTCAGGTCATGATCTCAGGGTCCTGGGATGGAGTCCCATCTCAGGCTCCCTGATCCCTCACCCTCTGCTTGCCACTCCCCCTGCTTGTTCTCTGTCAAATGGATAAATAAAATCTTTAAATAAATAAATAAAATCCAAAGTGTTCAAATTTATCCTTAAATTTTTTTTTCACTGAAAATATTTACTTAAATAGGACATAGGTGTTCAGTGTTTGCAAAACTGTCCACTTGGAAACAGCATAAAGAAAAACCCTGTATGTTGAGATGCCTGGGTGGCTCAGTCTGTTATGTGCCTGCCTTTGGCTCAGGTCACAATCACAGGGTTCTGGGATCAAGTCCTGCATTGGGCTCCTTGCTCAATGGGGAGCCTGTTTCTGCTTGCCACTCCCCCTGCTTGTGCTCACTCACTCTCAGTCTCTAATAAATAAACAGACAACCCTGTATGTTAATAATCTTTGTTTACATGATAGCTATGGTCAAGTCCTATTTATGGAACATTCAGTCTATTAACTTTTCAAACAATTCAGAAAGGGCAGGAAACCTTCATTTTGCTGTAAATTATAAAAAATGTAATTCTAATATCCTAATATGAATTACCAAGAAATCATTAATATATTTCTCATTTTTTACAGAAGTCATATGGTAGAAAAACCTTATGAAAACAAAGAGGATCACTGTGGAGAAACCATCACCCAGACTCCAGATCTTAACCTGAACAAGGAAAGTCCTTCTGGAATAAAACCACCTGAAGGTCCTCAGTATAGAGAAACCATCACCCAGACTCCAGATCGTATTCTGAACAAGAAAACGCCTTCTGGAGTAAAATCACCTGAAGGTCATCAGTGTGGAGAAACTATCACCCAGACTCCAGACCTTAATCTGAATAAGAAAAGTCCTTCTGGAATAAAACCACCTGAAGGTCGTCCGTGTAGAGAAACCATCATCCAGACTCCAGATCTTACTCTGAACAAGGAAACGCCTTCTGGAGTAAAACCATGTGAATGTAGCATGTGTGGAAAAGTCTTTGTGCGTCATTCGTCCCTTAGTAGGCACATCAGATCTCACAGTGGACATAAGCCATATGAGTACCACGAATGTGAAGAGAAGCCATACAAGTGTAAGGAATGCGGGAAAGCCTTCAGTTACCGCAAATCGGTTCACAGACACGAGAGGACTCACACTGGGGAAAAGCCCTACGAATGTCAGGAATGTGGGAAAGCTTTCACGTGGCTCACGACTTACCGAAGACACATGATAACTCACACAGGAGAGGGACCTTACAAATGTAAGGAATGTGGGAAGGCTTTCAGTTGTTCCACTTCGTTGCGAACACACGAGAGAACTCACACTGGAGAGAAACCCTATCAGTGTAAACAATGCGGTAAATCCCTCAGGTCCCCTCTGGGTCTGCGAATACATGAAAGAAATCACACCGGAGAGAAACCCTACGAGTGTAAGCAGTGTGGGAAAGCCCTCAGTTGTCCCAGTTCCTTTCGAAGACATGAAAGGACTCACACTGCAGAGAAACAGTATGAATGTAAACAGTGTGAGAAAACCTTCAGCTCCCCTCTAGGTTTGCGGATACATGAAAGAATTCACACAGGAGAGAAACCTTATGAATGTAAGGAATGCGGAAAAGCTTTCATTTCTCTGTCAAGCATTCGAACCCACATGATCACACACACGGGGGATGGACCTTACAAGTGTAAGGAATGTGGGAAAGCCTTCATTTGTCCCAGTTCCTTTCGATCTCATGAAAGGACTCACACTGGAGAGAAACCCTATGAATGTAAGCAGTGTGGGAAAACCTTCAGTTGGCCCAGTTCTTTTCGAATACACGAAAGAACACACACTGGCGAGAAACCTTATGAATGTAAGGAATGTGGCAAAACCTTCATTTATCGCACAACCTTTCAGGGACACATGAGAAAGCACACTGGAGAGAAACCCTATAAATGTGAGGAATGTGGGAAAGCCTTCATTTCTCCCTCAAGTGTTCGAACGCACATGATCATGCACACTGGAGATGGGCCTTATAAATGCAAGGAATGTGGGAAAGCCTTCAATTTTCCCAGTTCCTTTCGGATACACGAAAGGACTCACACAGGAGAGAAGCCCTATGAATGTAAACAGTGTGGTAGAGCTTTCAGTTGTTACACGTCCTTTCGGACACACGAGAAAACGCACACTGGAGAAAAACCCTATGAGTGTAAGGAATGTGGAAAGGCCTTCATTTATCGCACTACCTTTCGAGGACATGTGAGAATGCACACTGGTGAGAAACCGTACAAATGTAAAGAATGTGGAAAAGCCTTCAGTCGTCCCAATTCATTTCGAAGGCATGAGAGATCTCACACTGAATAGAAACTTCCCGAATGTAAGCATTGTGGGAAAAACGTTAGTGAACCTTCATCCTCACATGTGAAAGCCCCATGGGAGAGCAGTCCAACAAATATAAGAAAGCCTGATACAAATGAATCCCTATGTAATGTTCCAGAAAACTGTAACCTCAATCATTATAAAAGTTATAAATATATTGTCTTTATCAGTGCCTCATTCTTAAAGTGGATCTCTGGACTGTGGATATTTACTACTTAACTTTGAAAAATGAACATTGAGGTGAGATAATTCTGTAAGTACTCATTACTGTTGTTTAAAGATTAATAGATATTTGTTTTCTCCTTAAATCAGTTAGTAACATTTTTCTCTTTCCATTTTGGAGTTTGATCCATAGATGAATCGAGGTGGTTTCTAAATGTGTGAGTAGGTTTAATTTTAAAATAATGGTTTAGAATTGCTGATAAATGACATTTTGGTATTTGTTGGGATTTTCCCACTGGCCGCCTCTGTCAGCTACTGGATATCCATTACCCGTCAAATATTCCATCTTTCTTAGGAGAAAACCAGTTTTTGTCACCTGGGTAATGTGACATTTTCTAGAATCTGTTCCCTTTGTGATTCTACCTGTAGCCTCACTTGCATGAGGTTTGGAAGGCCGGACTACTGGAGGCATTAGGTTTCAGAGCTGACTGACAGACAGAAGCTGTATAGGAGCTTGGAGGATAACCTGCTTGCAACCCGTTTTCCTGATCGCTTGCCCCGCCAGTCAAGAGTGCCCTCAGAACCACAGTTAACTGCCCGACTTCCATTTCTCAGAGGTGCAGGTTCCACATACACCTTCACAAGTTCTGCATCAAAGATCCACCGCAGTTTGGATTTTCCTGCCAGCCCTCATGCATCCAGGCGACTAATTGGAACTTTCATGGTTGGGAGTATTCTCTGCTGCTCAGACTCTCCTCTCCTCTATACTGTATTCATTTAAGGTCTAATTTGTGTAGTAAACACCTTGTTTTGGTAATACTGTTAGTGACCACGTGTTCCTGATTCCACTGCGATAGCTACAGTGATGCCATCCAAAAGAACCACCTTGGACTTTGGTCCTCTGCTGTGCCGCGACTGTGAGAACTTGCCCCTCCCTCGTATCAGGCTGATTATGGATGTGTCCCTTAGTTCACAGCTGTGTGTAATTCCTCAGTATGTCTTCAAGTATGTTTGTATGTGATTAAAAGCAATGCATTTGTCAAATAAAATCTTCTGTAGTCATTTCTTAAAACATTAACTGGGGCACCTGGGTGGCTCAGTTGGTTAAGCGCCTACTTTTGACTCAGGTCAAGATCTCAGGGTCCTGGGGCACTTGGGTGGCTCAGTGGGTTAAACCTCTGCCTTTGGCTCAGGTCATGATCTCAGGGTCCTGGAATCAAGCCCCACATTGGGCTCTCTGCTCAGCAGGGAGCCTGCTTCCCGCCCCCCCCCCCCCCCGCCTGCTTCTCTGCCTACTTGGGATCTCTTTCTGTCAAATAAATAAAATCTTTAAAAAAAAAAAAAAAAAAAGATCTCAGGGTCCTGAGATCAAGCCCCCTGTTGAGCTCCCTGCTCAGTGGGGAGTCTGCGGCTTTCACTCCCTCTGCCCCTCTCCCCGACTTGTGCTCTTGAGCTCGTTCTTACTCTCAAAATCTTAAAATATTTTATTAACTGTTTTAATACAATTTGTATGCTACCAAATACCGAGTCTCTCATTTCCTGAGAGTATATATTAAAATATGCCATTGTAGGGGCACCTGGGTGGCTCAGTGGGTTAAGCCGCTGCCTTTGGCTCAGGTCATGATCTCAGGGTCCTGGGATCGAGCCCCGCATCGGGCTCTCTGCTCAGCAGGGAGTCTGCTTCCTCCTCTCTCTCTGCCTGCCTCTCTGCCTACTTGTGATCTCTGTCAAATAAATAAAATCTTTAAAAAAAAATGCCATTGTAATTATGAATTTTCAGATCAGCTTTGTAATTTTGTCAAGTTTAGCACACATTCTCAATATTAGCTTGTGTGTACATGCTGAGGTACTTTTCATTCTTTTACAGGTATAGTCTCTGTCAAGAACTAACTTCTCATTTGGTCAGTGTCGTCTTACTAGACAAAACCCACTGTTTCCACCAGCAGTCAGCAGTGGTGTGATGAACTCCAGGAATAATGGGCGCCTCAGTGGCTCAGTTGGTTGAGCATATGACTCTCAATCGGGTCGTGGTCTCAGGGTTGTGAGTCTGAGCCCCATGTTGGGCTCCAAGCTGGGCATGGAGCCCTACTTCAAAAAGGACTGCAAACCCTAAATGACTGGATTTATCAGTAAGAGAGTGTTAAAAGGACTTACATGATTTGGGTTTTTGCTAGGTGATTTGATTACTATTCAGTAAAGGCAAGAAGTTTCTGGATGTACTGGATGCTTTGTGGAGGTAAACTTAATTCCACCATTGTTTTTACCTTCCAGAAAATGATTATGATTACCAGTATAGTGGGGCTAAGCCTGTAAGAAGCTCCACTCATATTTTTAAGAAGAGGAGAATTTTGGTCATTTTTGTGACTTAGAATTGTCTTTTTTTCCCATTTTGAGAAACATAGTTAAAAAAGACCCTTCTTTTTGTCTTGATCCATCATGATTACCAAACTGCTTTGTCTGGTGGAAGTATTTGGTATTTTTCTCTTCAACACAATACGATTTGGCAAGGCCAGCGCCAGTCTCCTACAACTCTTGCCCTTCCCACTTGTTATCTAAACACCAGTATATTTACTACAGTGAACTGACGGACACTATTTACCACAGAGAACCTCAGTGAAATATGTAAATTTGCTCCTCAGTAAACTATGTTTAATATCTCCTTTATGATGTCACTGAGCCTGTAAGTTTAGGTAAATTGTGAGAAAACAAAACCTAATGGGCGAAAAAAAGAGAACACTACTGTTCCAATCACGCCTTTCTTGCTCGGTGACGACTATTGATACTAATTTTTGAACATCCCTCCTCTGTCAGACACTGTGTACTCAAAACATACCCAATGTAGCAAAAATAGTAAAATCAGTGTAGGAATTTCAATATAGAGGCATTAAACACAAGTTCTTACAGTCTTGGTGCTCATATTTTTGTGGGAAAAGAGAGATGGTTAACAAATAGTAAAATTTGAGATAAGAAGTACAGGCTTTGATAGAAAGAAACGACATTAAATAACAGGGAAGCTAGGAGTGTGTATACTTTTCTATGAGGATAGGAACCTGAGTGAGCGGGGATGTCACTACTGACCCGTGGAATTCCCACCATGCAGTACGTCTTCAACACTTTCAGGAACAGCTTGGGTGTGGAAGTACATAGAGGGCAGTAGAAATGGAGAAAGTCTGGCATTGCTGTGATTAACAGTAACGATTCCCCATAAAGATACAGACCTAGTTCATCTTCCTTTTTGCAGTTTTCTGTATGTAATTTGTGATCTTGGGTTTGGGCCTGGGTATCTGGGGCTTGAAACTTACCACTGATTTGGGCTACAGATATCTATGGTATTTTTTTGTGTTTAATATCATTTTTGAGAGCATTTCAATTTACCTGTATTTAAGTTTTACAGTATTTGGCACCTAAATTTTGCTTGTGTACTAACTGCATAATATAAACCCCCATTAAGCCCTGGGGTGTCTCCCATTTTGAAAAGGGTTATGATGATCTGCCCTGTTCTAGTTCTTCCAGTTTATACTGTGCAGAGAGAGCTATTTACACAAGCCCACTGTGATTTCCCAGTGGAAACACCAGAAATAGCTAGCTTTAGAAGGTGGTTATTCAAGGAATAACTAAGGAAAGCTGCAGACACAAAGTATTGTTTTGAGTAATACCCTAATTTTATGTAAAAGGAAATACGGGAAATATCTTTCTGTAAGAGGAGTAATTGGAAGCTTTCTGTTTGACCCACAAAGCCCCACAGCCCACCTCACTGTCCGAACGTGTCATTTCCAAATGCTTACACTTCCAGCACGTGACGGACTAGGCGGATATAAAAGTGACCATCGTGAGTTTTATGAGCAAAGGAAAGTCAATCTTATTCAGTTTTTAGTAATGACATTTTTTTTTAGCACTGTTGCGGTAAGTTCACGATTATTAGTCTCTCATTGGATGCCTCCACCAGCATTCCTTCATCTCACAAATGAGAAACTTGAGCACAGGAGAGCAGGGTCCAGGCTCACAGCTCACGTAATGGACTCGCTCCCATTTGGAGGTCTGATGGGTGCTACCTACTTAACTAGGCATCGTCACAATTTTAAACTCAGAAAAGCACGGCCAGAAATTTCCACTTTGACAAATTTGCCATCAAGTTTCACAAATGACTTCGAGGGCAGTGTGTAGTTTATATTACATTATGGGAAAGGCAAACTTGGGAGAATAACACAGATGAGTGTGGCCAGTGGTGAAGGGGTTTAGTACAGGAGTATTCTGGGGTTCATCCTTTGTGGTGTTACTACACACTTGTGAAAAACCCCCACTACACTTTAAGTTGTATGTATAGACTAAAAATGAGGAACAGAAGATGACAAAAATGCTTTCATATGCTGGGAGAATCTTGAATTTTGCCGAACCCCGATTATGTGTGCCGCTCTTCTTTCCCCCACATCGGGGCTACTACTTAGGAGGAACTGAAGGACTGAGGAGGGAGGACTTGGTCCCCATCAGGCCTTTGCTTGCCATCCCGTCGGCACCTCAACTAAAGTGCGAGGGCTCTGAGAATCTTCATTCCACAGGCCATCTGGAAGTACTGTGGTTTTGGAACATGGTGGTGCGCCCCGCAGTTCTCCGCAGGTACCATTTGAGGACCTCCTGACGTCTCAGCAGCAGGACCCCATCCTTCCCTTGCTGTCCTGAGGCCCTTGACAGCTCTTAGTTTCCCATCTCAAGCGGACTTTGCCTGCTTACTGGGAAGCATCTTTGGAAACCCACTCCTGTGCCACTCGGAAGATTTCTCTACCAAGAGCAGGGGCTGTGAGGTGCGAGAGTAGAAGACACAGCACGGGGCACGTGCCCTTGAGCCACAACAATCTGAGCTGTTGCAAAGTTAACCTGCTCTGCTGTCCTCGTCACCAGATACCTACAACT